ACACATGACTTTGTATTTACAAATGGGCCAATAGAACAAAGCTCTGTGGTGACTGGATTGAAAATTCATTTGGTACACATCTGGAAGAGAAACAATCTGTTTTGCACCTCCCAAGATAATGCTCAAATTAGAACATATTGAAATATATTGGAACATAATATTTTTGATATCAGTTTTTTTCCAGCTTTAGAAAACACTAAGCTAGTACAGAATCTACATGCACTGTTATGCAGATTCCTATTTTTGAAGTAGTTATATATAAATATAGAAGTGGGACAAAATGGATTGAATGAACCTAACAGGTTGCTGTTACATGGCTAGTACTGATTAATTGTACAAAATCATTTTTATTAACAGGTTATGCAGGAATTTGATCTAATAACCATAAAATACTTGCAGCATATTTCTCATTGAATTAATAATAATAATTAACTATATGTACTTCAGAATGTTATGAAATTCCATTAAACAGAATCTTCCTAATTTTTTTCTATCATGGCTATGCTTCAGTTGTCTTTTGAAAACAAAGACAAATCTAGTATTTTAATATATGCAAAAGAAACTGATTGATATTGGATAAAATTATGTTGGTAAAACAGATTAGCATTTTTTTCAGACATGTTCCATTCTACATCCATTCCAACTGAGATAAAAAGTCTAAATTAGATAAGGAATTTTGTTCTGACAAGCATTGCTTTGAACCAATGCTATAAAATAGAACCTTTGTAACAAGGGAGTGATACATTGCAAGAAATACACATAAAGGATTATTTGTTAACTCAACAATTAAAGGATAAAATGAGATAGGAAAATTAATGGAGAATGCTTTTTCCACTCCATGAAGTGTCAGAATAGATGTGTTGAACATAGTAGTCAACCACCATTTCCAAGTATTAACCATTTATAAATAGTACATTTTAATACATACAGTTCATTGTACAGGTTACAATCTGTTGTATACATTAGGGAGGGGCTGAGGATAATGCATTCTTTTTGAACTTTTTCCACATCTATCTCACAGCTTACATGTACAGACAATAAAACTCTGCTCAAGCAAATACAGTGAAGGGAAAGAAACACATTTCTTTCCTTTATACAGGGGTGGCCAAAAGTCTTAACTGACTGTAGGGATTTGTGCAGCATCCCTGCAATAAAAGATCACAACTGTGTGGTGATTCAATATATCAGTAAGAGAACAGAACATGCAATTGAATATTATACTGTACAGGGAAAATCTTTACATCAGATTGATAGAAAAAAGGAAAAGGAACTCAGTATCTTTCCAGCAAGTTGGCAAACCAGAAAGATTTAATACAAAGGAATGTGTGTTGCTGTACAGAGGCAGACAAGGCAGGCAAAATGTCTCAATGCTCATGGGAAAGAAATTGTTATAAGAAACATATTTAAAAGCAAAACATTCATTCCCTGAAAATATATCTTCTATCTAAACATATTAATGCCTTGCACTCTGTAGAATGAGTAGTAACAGTAAATAATGGTAGGAAATGGTCTGGTAGTTGTTCAGGTGGAATAAAGTCAAACTGTTTCAGTTCTCTCATAGTCTTTGTGATGGCAACAAGCAAAAAGCATCTAAGCATCTTCCTTTTTTTTTTTTTTTTACTTCCAAGCAAGACTTCAAAGCAAGCAGAAAAGTGTAGAAGCTCATTCCATTTTATTAAAAGCCTCTTGAATATACACTTGTTTGAAATGCAAAAGCAGTCCTCTGTTTCTGCATTTCAAACAAGTGCATATTCATACATTATACCAAGATCCTAATCTGAAATAGCAATTAGATAATACTGTGTTGAGGTTCTATAACTTAATTCAGTTACCATTACACAAAATAGCCTGCTATGAAATTTCAGCCCTTAATATGATTTTTCTTGTTAGGGGAGCAATAATAATCCAACAATTATATTCAAGTAATTAGGGAGGGGAGCCGCAGTTTAGCGATCTACCCCTTTGTGCTTGTGCCTTAGTTTGTCCTTTCCTTTTCACAGCAACAATAAATTCAGTGAAGGCATCTAATATGTAAAAATAAGCATACTAGGTTTTGACCCCTCTAAGCCCTTTTAAAAAGCTGAACTCTGAATAGCTGAAGGTCCTGAAACTTCAGTGTTAAGTAATGGAAGAGGGGGAGAGAGATGCAGCTTACCATTCAAGAAATTACTATGGGCTACCTTAAGGAGAGAAGAAAAATTTCTAGGCACAAAGTGTTTTTTTTTAATGTAAGGTGCAGAAAAGCTGGCACTTCGGTTTTTATTAGATGATTTTCTATGAACAGTAGAAATTTGTTAACTCCTTTCTAAGGCCAAATGAACAACTTGGAATTTCAAAATGGATGCATTTTTGTTCCTTTTTTTTTAGCTCATTAATAAAATATGAAAAATTAAACATACTACGTTACTTCTTTGCCCTCCCCATTATACTTTCTACTTCACTGAAACAGCAAAATAAGTCCTATTTCCAGTTATTTGATATTTTTGAGTCTCAAAGAAGCTCTTTTCGTATAAGAATAAATAACTGAGCCATTTACCAAGCTAGCAACTCTCTCCCCTGGAGCCAAACCAAACTTAACATGTATTACATTTTCTACATTATTCTTAGGACCTGATAGCAATTTTACTTGGACCCAGCTTAATTAATTATTTCAAATTCTTAGAAGTCAGCATTACAGTATTAAGTCTCCATAGACTCTAGAAAGCAAATTCAGGGGCCAAACAAGACAAAATTAATGTGTGAATGCAATTAACATGGTCATTTTTTAATATGACTAAGCAGTTAAGATGGATCAGTGAAGACAGAGAGGAAGTAGCTTCCTCTTTCTGCCAGTTAAGCTGTTTTATATTTAATAGGAAGCCTCTGTTGATGATTTTGGAGAGGTAATTTTTGTAATGACCTTAGGAAAGGGAGAAATAATTCAACTTCAGTTAAGACCGCTTAGGCTTCATATTTTTACTAGAATCAGTGGTACATCTTTCACAGCCGGATGCTCAGCAAGTTAGCATCTAGATTTTTGTTCACGAAAATATCCAGTGAGCAAAAAAACTTTTCTGCAAAGCCCGAGTAACACCATGTGGTGGATTTGGTAAAGCAAGCATACATTCACAGTAAAAGTCATATAGGACTTGAGGCTGTGATTTATTTGGTATGTTGATTTCATAGAAAATAGTTCTGAAATTCCAACTTAGGCATTTGATGTGCATGCATGTATAAATAAAAAGATTAGTACAATATTTTTGCATGTCTTTAAACAAACAAAAAAGCAGCATGGCAGATCAATCTGTGATGTGGTATTAGCCACTCTCTCTTAACTATCCTGAGTAGAAAAAAAAACTCATTTGAAACTTTTTTCAAATGAAAACAGACAATTAAATATATTATTTTGTGCTGTGTTATATCTCAAGACAGTATATGATAAGCAATAAAGAACTAAACTGAGAGCAAATCCAAATGGAATTCTTCTCTGGCAGATCTTCAGAAAAATATGTCTTTTATTTCATGTGAGATGGGTATTTGGTAACTAAAAGCACAATGATTAAGCCTCAGATGCACCTAAAGAGAATTACTGGAAGAACACAGCATATTTTTCTCTTTGTACTAAAACTTATTTCAGCTTTTGAGGCTTATATACAATGTTAGTACTTGTGCTGTCTACCTTAAGTCGTTGCTTCTTTTTTTAAAAAAATATATTGAATGACAAGAGCTTTTTGTAATGTTGGTATTATTCATGTTTAAATAACCATTACTGATCGTAGAAACAAATGCAACTATAAAGTGCACCCAATTTACAAAGAACAGGCGGCAAATCCATAAGTGCAAGAATCCTGTGAAATCACAACACAGTACTATTAAGAAGGGACGGAGGGAAAATTTTGCCCAACAGCAGTAATAGATGCCTCCTTTTGGATGAGTATGACAATTCTTTTACTGACTCTCAAATATCAACGATTATGGCACAGGGAACCCTATGACAGTGAAAGTGGAGCCAAATTCTTGAAATTATCAAGGTAGATACATTATGATTCCACCTTCCATATGACAGAGATGGTATATTAGTTATTTTTAGCTTTATTTATCAAGAAAGAGTGGATAATACCTCAGTGCACTTCAGCTGATCACGTGCACTGTGGTACAAGTGATTATCTAAAGGCCCAAAATCAGAACACAATTATCTGTCTATTGTGAGAAAATAGGTTCTAGTTTTTCCAAGATATAAGCCAGACAAGTACAAAAATGTTTTTGAAATAAATCACTGATAAACATAACTTTGTTAATGCAAATTCCAGTTTTAAAGAGTTTAAAATTGAAAATAACCATTCTTAATAAAGCAAAGAAAGTTTTACAAGACCCAGAATCCAAACCATCTAGGAGATTAAAAAAATGTGTGGGGAAAAGAGCAGTGGCTTTATCTATTCTGATAATAAAAAAGCAAATATAGAGTTGCATCTTTAGATTTTTTTTTATGAAACTTTTCCTTCACTTCTCTCACACTCCTGCATCATACATACACATTCATACTGAAAGAAAAGAGGGAATACTATTGTTGATTTCAGTAAGTTAAATAAAACTGAAGAATGCCCCCAGCTCTTTGAAAAAAAGCATTAGCAAAACATCTGAGATTCTTTGACACTAGCATGCCATAGCATAAATCAATCAGAACAGCAATTTTCTATGGCTGTTCTACAGAACAGCAAATTTTGTACTGTGACCAATTTGGGAGGGAAAAATATGTGCAAAAAGTTATAAAGAAGCAAAACCAAAGTAAAAGTTCAGGTAATCCTAGATTTACAAGCACAATTGATCTCAACATTTCCATTACTAAGCAAGATAATTATTAAGTGATTTATAACCTTTCTTGCCAGGGTTATTAAGTGAAGTCACTGCAGTTATTATATTAGTTAGGTGAATCTGGCTTCCTCATTGGCTTTGCTTGTCAGAAAGTTGCAAAAGGTGATCACATGACCCAAGACCATTGCAACCATCATAAATACTTGCCAGTTGCCAAGTGTCAAATTCTGATCACATGACCATGGGAATGCTGCAACAGTCATGTGAAAAACATTTTTCAGTGCTGCTGTAACTTTGGTTATTAAATGAATATAAGTCAAGGACTACCTGTAACTCTTGGAAATGCTACATTCCATATTCAGAGAAATATGGCAATTTATAATAAGAATATAAGAAATGACTAGGGAAAATAGTGATTAAAATTGTTACATTGATCTCTTTGCCTTTCTGAGCTCTTTCAGGAGACAGGAAACAAAGATCAATCTCATTTTCAAGGTGAAATCTTTAAGGATTACTAAAAAACATCTTTTATCACACCTTTCAATTCATATGGAGCTCCTGAATAAAGCATTTTTAAAAAATAGTGTCATAAAGCACAGTGGAAGATATTCTGCACTTTAAAATCACTAGGATAGTTTGACAAAAATAATGAAGAAAAAGGGTCAGGATACTAGCTATTCTATGATATGAAGAAAAACATTTTTTAAAAAAATATAATTTTCATTAATTGATAAGATCAATTTAACCTCTGAATGATCAAAATGCAGAGAAGGCAAAACATTATTTCTTTTTTGGCCTGATTTGTGTTTCTGCCCTGGAGATGAGCTCTCCATACTTTGATGGTTTCTTGATTCGTATAAGCATTCATGGAATATTCTTCAATCCCTTGTTTTCTGGCACTTCTCAACTCACAAAATTAGCTTTTGTGAACTAATTTAAAGTGCTTTCTGGAAATGCTATGGATTGAGAATATTTGCATCAAGTGTGTGCTACATTATTATTTTCTCCTTTGAGATCACTGGCTTCATTAGCTTGCAGAAATTATTAATCGCTCAACCTTTTTCATTTGGATTGGAAAAGCAGTCCAACTTCTAAAACCAAATCATATAACTCAATAACAAATTACTGCAAAATATTCTAAATTATATTATGCCAAAACTAGAGAAAAAAAGTACACTTGTTCTAAGCATTTAACTTCAAATGCATGAAAGAGTGCCCATCTGTAATCCAGGAAGCCTTGTGAGAGAGTACCAGTGCTAAATCTAGGTCGGGGAAATTAAAACTACCATTCAGTCAGTTCCTCCTTCATGATTCAAAGTAGAGTTTTCTAATTTTAGATACCCAGACAGTACTCCACCCCCCCCCCCCGGGTAACATAGGCAATGGTTAGAGATGATGTGAAATATAATCCAGTATCTGGAGAACCAATGATTTAAAGCATTTGGTTAATTTTTTTAAAAAAATAATTTTACTGATTATCAACATCTCTACAATGTGATTTGTTCCAACAGGAAGACAAGTGCACTAGAAAATAGGCTGGATATCTAAGATACAGAATGAAATCAGCACTGACTGTTGGGCTGAAGTGGAGAGAACTTTAATTTCTACCTGAATATTTGTTCAAATGCCTTGGAAAAAGTAGCTCATTGTTTTTCAAAGCTAGTACCAACAGAAGGATATGGGAAAATGTTAAGAATAAATAATAATGTGATTTTTTTAAAAAAAATGCAACCCTATTAGAAAGTAGACTGGGTTTTATGCATAGTTCTTTGTTAATACTAAAAACAAAGACCCCCATTCTCACAGGTTAATAGTTCTTTGGACATAATGATCTACAGGAACTGAAAAGTGTAGTTTCCCAGCAGAAATAAAAGTCAGTAGAAAAAAAATGGCCAGACTGTATTTCAATCAATTCAGTTTTGAAATTAAAACTTTTCTTCAAAGAGCTGGTTACTTCCCTTGAGTGTGTACAGAATTTGACTCAGCCCCCATACTATACATTTAATTAACTAATTGGCAGCTGAAAATTGTATGGTGCTGGCTTTCTCTGAGGTCAGCTGTGTATAGAAAAGAATTTGGAGCATGTCTTGGACTGCCTCATTATCATACAGAAAACACAGGATATCCCCTGGGTGGTAGTCTGCTACTGAATAAAAATCTTAGAAAGGAAGAAAAAACAGCAACGTAAGATGTGAATTCAGCTAGGAAAAATGTGCCAAAAAATAAAAGGCTCTTACTCCAAAATACATCCATTTTAAACATTAGACTCCACAAATGGTCTCTTTGGTTTGATTGGGGATGTCTGCCCTTGCCTGGAGTCTCTGGAAAGTTGCCTATAGAGGTTGTCCTGATATGCCTGTGCAACAGGCAGTGTCCTGGCCACCTTAACATCAGGATATGAAGAAGTTTGGCTAACTCTTTCTAGAAGATCTCCTCTGGAGCCATTGGCCAAAATTCCATGTGGACTGTAATAGTCATCCTCCAACAAGTGGCCATTCTGTGCATTGTTAGTTTTGTTATAAAAGGCAAGGCTGCTGACTGAAGAAGGTGGACTGAATGTTTCTGGCTGAGGAAGATTTCCAGGAGATGTAGGGCTTATAACAGTATCCACTGAAGATACAGCCCAGGTTCTGCTTTGTTGATGTAGGTGAGGATACTGCTGAGTCCGGGCTGTTTTATCTATGATTCCCATGAAAGGTGTTGTCCTGGAACGAGCAGGTTCACTAGGATAACCACCTTGGGTTGGAGATACTGGGGAAAGCTCATCACATGATCTGTCATATGCTGGCTTAAGCGGAATCTCCATTTGCTGAACAGAAGCAGAAGGGCGGAATGGGGGAGTCAAATTGGGAGTAGAGGAAATGCTATTGCTAGATGGAGAAAATCTGAGACCAACGCTTTGAGAATGAAGCAGAGGTCTTGGAGTTGGTGGATGAGGTTTTATTTCATTGGAATTTAATGTAATGGGTCTTCGTATCAAATGGGAAATGTCAGGAGAACCAAGCTGACTAGAGGGTAGAGAGGAACGTTCCAAATCAAGCTTTGCATGACAGACTGGATAGTAGGAAGCTGACTGACTCCGCCCAATCTGTGGGGTTTGACTATATCTCATCCCACCACGATAAGCAGAGGAAGGTCTTTGTGGAAGATCCTCTTTAGTCAGCCCTCCATGCTGACAGATTGCCCCTGCACTCAGACTGGCTTGAACATGCTGCACAGGTCGCCCATCTCCCACTATTCCCCCAATAGAGGTCTGATACACCAACCGATTTTGGCCCCCAGTCATTTCTGCTAATGAAGACTGAAACTTGCTGGCCACAGAATGGGATACTTGGCCATAAATTCCTGTTGGGATTACAGTACTACAATGCCCAGCTGAACTTGGCTGGTTGCTTCTGACAATCTGTGCCTTGGCAGGCTGCAACCTAAGTCCTTGCTGTGGAACTGCAACAGGTAGTGGAAGCATCTGGAAAGATCTCTGTGTCATTTTAGAAAGTGGAGATTTAGGTCGACTAGGAAGTTGAGTGATGCTGGTTTCTTGCTGGTATCGTATTGGTGAACCAGACTGAGCTCTGTAGACACTCACACTATCTGCAGGAGGGCTGGCTCGATACTGAGGGCCTCTACGAAGGGGTGAAGGAGGTGGGCTTTGATAATCTTTCCCTTGGCTACCAATTGGCGGTGGACTAAAATGGTAAGAGGAGGGCTGGTGAGCAGGAGATGTGTGTGGTGGACTAGGCCTATAATGAGAATTCTGGTGCGTTGGAGAAAGTGCTGGTGAGGTGGATTGATATCCTTGCCTTGTTGGTGATCCTACAGAATTATTTGATCTGAAGTCAAAGACCTGATGTGAACCAAGTGGTGAATTGGAGATGTAGGCAGAATCCCGGTGGGCAGGGGAAGATGGTGGACTTTGGATAATGGGCAATGTTGGGCTAGGTCGTGACTCTGTCTGCAAGCCAACAGAAATGTTTTCTACATCTTGTTCAAGATATTCTTCTTCCAAGATATCTTGTACTGCATACAATTCTTCTTGCTGTGTTTCTGATTCAGATGGTGCAAGGGGTTGTTGTTGTAGTTGCACCTGTGTCTGTCTGCACTCTTCTTCTACCCGCATAAGGAGCCGCTGGATTTCACGGTTGTTCGGACAAAGTTTGATGGCCTCATTCAAATCCTCCAGTGCTGCTGAAAACTGCCTGTTTTATCCAAAAAGTGACAAAATTAAAAAAAAAACAAGAGAGTAAAATTTGCTCTGGATAACAATGGCTTTAATATGAGTTTGGTATGCATAAAAGTGTAGCTAGTTGTGAGGAGGAGGATTTCCACATCTTGCGAACAAGATTATTCAGCCTTGTGTGTTTCTTCTATTTAAGAAATAGACAGTATTTCCAAGATTGCACTTGGTAACAAAGACAATGTATTGGGGTATTTCAGATCTGTTGAGCTCTGTTCCTCCACTATTTTAGGTCTGAGCATATGCCAGTTTAAGGCTCCAAACAAAAGGCACACTCTGGACTGCTTTCAGCCAGTGCATTCTGTCCTGAATATTGCTGTCTTGGAAATGAAGAGAACAAGGATAGGACAGTGTCTGACAAAAAATAATCCCTCACAAGCCTTTGCCTAACCTATGAGGAACAGAAGGGTGGGAAATTTCAAGGGAAATGGGTTGTCATTTACAGGGACACTGGTAGATTTTGAACAAAATAGCAATCTAGTTGTATGTTTCTGATTGATAAAGATTTATCTCTACCCTTTTCATGCATTTGGCTTTCTTGTTCAGTTTTTAAAACACACAAATGTGTTTTAAAAGCATAAAAACTATTGAACACCTAATGTTTGACCTATACTGATTGTTGATGCTGTTGAACACCTAATGTTTGACCTATACTGATGGTTGATGCTGGGAGGCAAGATTTGTTTTTTTTCTGTAGACCCCAAGAATCTGAGTAAGTGGAAGTCCTAGAAATTAATTGCGTTAACTGTTTGAACAACATACTGCCAACTCTGGAAAATCAAATAAAACAGCATAAATATGGGAAACCATAACACTGACTTGAAGTTTAGCTCAATTAGTAGAGTTCTGACTGTGGTATGAAATTTAATTACAACTAGGAGAGACCCAGAGAATGGTATAGAGCAGCCCAAAGGGACATTTTTGAGCTAAGGAGTTAAACCGTGGGATTTTCAACTCAAACTGGAAGAAAGCATATTCTTGTTATCTTAGTCAATGAGCTGATCAAATAGGACAGTATTTCTGAAAGATAAAGCTCTCCAATAACTTCAATATTCTGAAATATAATCCCACCTTAAGTACATGAACTGGGCCCATTGGACATTAATCATAACATCAATATGTATGTATGTATGTATATATGCCAAAATTGTGGAAACCTTTTGGGAAAAATGTATTTTTGAGGTTTGATGGCTAATAACACCACTTTTTTTGGGGGGGGGAGTAGTACCATAAAATTATATATCAATGGAAAGATAATTTAATCAAGAATGTAATGCAACATAGTTTGTTCAATTATCTATACTGTATTCTATGAAAAGTTATAGCCAAATAACCAGAAAAAGGAAGGACAACTTGCTTAGGTTGATATCAGGTAGCTTTCCTTAATCTGATTGTAGCCAATGAGCATGAGTGTTTAGAGAGCCAATCAGGTGTCATCTTGTTTTGGCAATGAGCCAATCAGATCACAGTAGGATTCAGTTATTGATGTCACGTATTGAAGATGAGAGGAGGACATTTGTCAGTGTGTTATGTGATCGCTATCAAGTTGGTTGGTTTTTTTTTCTTTTCATTTAGTGAGCTTGTAAAATGTAATAAAATTAAAGTAATGGTGCAAAGAGTTGACTGGTTGCCCAGAAAGCGATATAAAATAGTATTATTAAGTGAACAAGGCTACAGTTATAAAGAAATTAAAAGAAAAATTGGTGGAAACTTAACCAAAAGTGGCATTTCTACTGTACACTTTTCCCAAAAGGTTTCCACAATTTTGGCCATTACTTTGTGTGTGTGTGTGTGTGTGTGTGTGTGTGTGTGTGTATTTTCTGAGGTTTTCGCAGGTGTTTGTATGTAGGTCTTTGGTTATTCGGGTTTTCTCCCATGTCAAATGGGAAGTGTCTTGGTGATGTTTCGATGAAGTCACATTCGTCATCTTCAGGCTGATGTTTTCGGCTTCTTGCTTCTAGGAGCAATGTGTGATCGTAGCTGTTTCTTCCTTTTAACTGCTAGTGGGGGTATGAACTGATTGGATGGGAGCTTGGCTGTGTTCTGATTGGGTGGAGGTGTGTTCTGATTGGTTAGGGGCTTAGCTGTGCTCCGATTGGTTGGGGGGGGTTGGCTGTGCTCTGATTGGATGGGGGAGTGTTCTGTTTGGGTGGGGGCTTTGTTGTGCTCTGGTTAGTCTGAGTTGCAGGGGGATTTGAGATGGTGAGCTGCATTGCTGTTGTTTGGCTTTGTAACCCGAGCACAACAAAGCCCCCACCCAAAGAGAATACTCCCCCATCCAATCAGAGCACAGCCAACCCCCAACCAATCGGAGCACAGCCAAGCCCCTAACCAATCAGAACACACCTCCACCCAATCAGAACACAGCCAAGCTCCCATCCAATCAGTTCATACCCCCACTAGCAGTTAAAAGGAAGAAACAGCTACGATCACACATTGCTCCTAGAAGCAAGAAGCTGAAAACACCAGCCTGAAGATGACAAATGTGACTTCGTCGAAACGTTGCCAAGACACTTCCATTTTGACGCGGGAGAAAACCCAAATAACCAAAAATCTACATACAAACACCCGCAAAAACCTCAGGAACAAATATACATACATACATACATACATACATACATACATACATACATAAATATGTGTGTGTGTGTGTTATGATTAATGTGTGGTACACAGAGTACTGTGCAAAAGTTTTAGGCAGTTGTGTAAAAATGCTGTAAATTAAGAATGCTTTCAGAAATAGAAGGGTTAATATTTTCTTTTTATCAATTAACAAAATGGAAAGTAAATGAACAGAAGAGAAACCAAGTAAAATCAATATTTGGGGTGACCACCCTTGCTTTCAAACCAGCATCAATTCTTACACTTGCACAAAGTCAAGGATTTTGTAGGACTAGAGTTAGGTATATGATTAACCAATTATACCAAACAGGGGTTAATGATAATCAATTTCATATGTAAGTTGAAACACAGTCATAAACTGAAACAGAAACAACTGTGTAGGAGGTTTAAAACTGGGTGAGGGACAGCCAAACTCTGCTAAGGTGAGGTTGTGGAAGAAAGTTTCATGTCACAGGTCATACACCATGGCAAAACTGAGCTGAATCAGCAAGGTCTCTCCCAGGCAAAGATTGCAAAGCTGACTGGGGTTTCCATATATGCTGTTCAAGCTCTTTTGAAGAAGCACAAAGAACAGGAACGCTGAGGGACATAGACATAGTGGATGGCCAAGGAAACTTAATGCAGCAGATGACAGATACATCATGCTTACTTCCCTTTGACATCGGAAGATATCCAGCAGTGCCATCAGCACAGAATTAGTGGAAACCAGTGAGACCCAGGTACACTCATCTACTTCTACATTTAGATTAATCAAAATGTGAAATATTTGGCTGTAGCAGGAAGCAGTTTATTTGCCGAAGGGCTGGAAAGCATACAATGAGTGAAGCATGATGAAGATTCCTTGCAAGTTTGGGGCTGCATTTCTGCAAATGGAGTTGAAGATTTGGTCAGCATCAATGGTGTCCTCAGTGCTGAGATATACAGACAAATACTTATCAGTCATGACATATCAGGTGTGTGATTGGTCCCAAATTTATTCTGCAGGAGGATAAGGACCCCAAATATATAGCCAATGCCATTCAGAAATAACTTCATCATAAAGAAGAACAAGGAGTCCGGGAAGTGACTCTCCCACAGAGCCCTGATCTTAACATTATCAAGTCTATTTGGGATTACATGAAGAGACAGAAGGATCTGAGGCAGTCTACATCCTCAGAAGATATGTGGTGAGTTCTCCAAGATGTTTGGAACAACCTTGAAGAAATCTTGCTGAGTTCCGTCAGAAAATGTATGCAAGTGTACCTAGAAGAACTGATGTTGTTTTGAAGGCAAAGGCCACCCAAATATTGATTTCATTTGGATTTTGTTAATTGATAAAAATAAACTATTAACACTTCTATTTCTGAAAGCATTCTTAATTTACAGCATTTTTGCACAACTGCCTAAAACAGTTGCACATACTATGTATATGTATATATCTTGATCCAACTGCTTTCAACTTTCTTACATAACAGGTAGCCTTATACTTAGAAAAAGTTACCGATTAATCCACAAACTAATCCTCCATGCTGATGCACGTTATTATGGTATGAATAAAGATACAGTATATGCTGGCATATTAGGTGACCCGGCGTATAAGATGACCCCCATCTTTATCGCCGAGTCGCCTTCCTAGAATGTCGTCTTATACGCCGGAAACTACCAGTATTTCCGGCGTATAAGACGACTTGGCGTATAAGATGACCCCCGTCTTTGGCGCCAAGTTTAGTGCTTCCGGAAGTCGTCTTATACGCCGGCATATACGGTAATAGTAGCAGAATGTTCTATAAGGACACTATGGCAAAATTTAAAAAAGCTGCTATAGCTGAAACTATGGAAGGTGCTCAGCTTGATGATAGACTGAATCTGTTATTTTCAGATATAATTATATTCTTCCTCAGGTATGTTCTTGCTATTTGTTCCTTGTGTGGATCAGGACATTTTTAGGAGTGTATCACACCCAAACCTTCATTTCTCTCTGGCTCTCCTCTCACCTGCTGCTGCGTTTGGCCCTTGCTCTTGCATAGTAAGCTTCATAAGATTTCGGTTTCAGCTCCAGTGCTTTAGTAGCAAATTCCTCCGCCATTCCAAAATCCTGCCATTACAATAGGTGCGTAGATAAGTCATTGAAAAAACACACAGATAGAAGTTGGGAAAAATAAAATAAAATTGATAGATTGTTGTAAGTGGACTGAGTGCTTTCTAACATTAACAAAATATTAGAGAGCTGGTATCAAGAGATCCAACTTTTTTAGTTGTTCAGTTATCTGTTCCTAACTTGGGACTGTAAATGTTAAACCTGTTCTTTGGACTATGTCCAGTCCATGTATCATCATTTTTTCTGCCCTAGAAATAATAAAATCTACTTCAGTTATTTTTTTTTATTTGTAACTTTTTTAGTGCTTCAATACTAATAACTTGAAATAACTTCATACAGACCACTGACACGAACAAGTTGTGGAACAATATATACTGCTCACAAAAATAAAGGAAACACAAACGTATAGGATCCTATACGTTTGTGTTCCCTTTATTTTTTTGAGCAGTATATATATTATAACCTATTTTGTTTTCTCCATATTCTTAGGGTTGGCTCACTTGAACTGACTCATGTGTTGAAGGAATTAGGTAACGGGAACTTAGGGATATATTATATAATCTGGACATTAGCAGCAATTCCTAATAACAATTTATCTTTATGATTATGTGAAGAATCCTAACTAGATACATTAAAGTTCTCTAGGTAGTTGTTCTATACTTGTGTGGCCAGTAGAATATAGAAGGGGAGGCATGGCAAAATAGGCAGAGTGGGCAAGCTTATGTTGTATAACCCTACCATTCAAACAATATGATTTTAAATCTTTTAATTGACATTTCTCAGAATTAAAATTCCAAGAGTAAGGATAAATATACCGTAGATATATCTGAGCTTTTTGTTGCACTACCATTAAAAGAGTTCCTCAACTTAGCTAGAATTAATGCCATCATTTTGATGATATGAGTAAACTCTGTATTATTAAGAGCATAAATAGTGCCTTGGTGGATTGGCCTCCTGGCCCATATAATCCAGTATTTGTTCTACCACAGCCAACCAAGTGTGCAAGGTTGCAACTGTAAAATTTGTTGTTGTTTTTAAGTTTGTTTAAAGTCTAACCTGTTATATATATATCTCAATCTCTAAGTCATAGTCATTTAATTTCTAACCTAAAAAGTTCTCCTTTTCTCTCTCACAGTCGTATTCCACTAAATACTCACAAACACACATTTTATGTTGTTTTAAACATGAATGGCTTTTGAATAGCATAAACACTCATATGCAAGGAGAGTGTAACCTATGCATCTTGAGATTGAATCACTGTTTTAAGAGAAAGCAAGACTTTAGAAGGAAAAGACAATATTTTATATCCACCAGCATCCTTCAATTTCCATATACACTAAATATTTTTTAGAAAATGAAAGGAAGCCATTTTCATAAACTGATGATTTTTTAATTGCTTGAAATAAATCTTAAACTATTGCTTGGCTGTTTCAGAATTAGAAAACCCCAGTGCTCTGTGAAGGACAACCAAATTACAAAAAGGTGGAGGTTTTAAGGCCATTCTAGGAATATAGGTAAGAGTCTGGTTAGGAAGTGATTAGGAACAGGAAAGGAAGCTGGGAAAGGATCACATTCTGGAATAAGCTGTAAGAAGGAGGGCACTTACATTCATTTTCCTCCGACAGCGTGATAAGTTGAGAAGGAGTGACACCTTCAGTTCCCGAAAAGTTTTTAGATCCTCTCCAAACCCTTCTCGGGGGAATTTCTTCAAAGCATACTGATATCGTTGGGCAGCTTCTTTCACTTTCCCTTTCTAATAAAATGTCAAACAGTAAATGTACTATTCAGTTTTTTATCTGACGGTTGTAAGAGTTATAGATCAAGAAATTGAATGTGCCTATAAAAGGGTCTAGAAATAAGCAAGGAATATCAGTTATTCTTCTTAGAGAATAATTTTATCAACTTGTTGACCATTAATAGAAGCTCTCTTCTTACAAATAATTCAGATTCTTTTTTTGCACACCTTTATATTTATTGCTGTTATTGGAGGATCAATTTGCTAAGAGATAGTTTTTGTGGAATGATTAAACAGTGTAAATATTAAGAAAGTACTAGGTAAGTAAGTAAGGGAAGTAAGGAAAAATAAGCAGTAACTCCCAATAATTTTCATTATTTAACATATACTTCACTCTAACCAAAATCAAGTGCCTAATAGACATGTAAAATTTACCTAATAATCTCTTCTGGCCTATGGTTTAAGGTGCAATGGATGTTGTCTTGTTATACAGTTTTCAATTATGAAATTTTCATTTGTTTTTCACAAAAAGGTGAATTAATTAGTAGACAAATGGATTAGCAGAGAAAAAGCAACTATTATTATTTCTGTGGAGAAAATGTAATATCGGACACTTACCATGAAGAATAATTTTTGTTTGATGTGCTACATCTTCATACTGGACTATGATTTCCCTGTAGTTCAGAAATGGCAAAATTCCTTACCCAAGTTCTTTACCAAGTCATTTTCTTAATGAAACTTAATGAAAGTTCAATTCCATAGCAAGGTTTTAAATAGAGAAAAGGGGGCCAGGTTTATAATAAAAGGACTAATGCTGTAGTGTGATTCAGCCAGTTTGTACCAGTTTGGCAGAACTGGAAGCTAATTTTTTGTTGCCCAGGCCCAGAATGGAAGTGGCATTCACATAGAGAACCAGTTGTTCACATATTTGAATCCCACACTGGACTAATATATGACTACAGGCATTATAACCATTTGTTTAACAACTGTTTAAAGTTATGATGGTGCTGAAAAAAGTGACTTACGATTTGTCCTTGCACTTAAGACCACTGCAGTATCTCCGCAGCTACAAGATTGAGATTCAGCCAGCATGTAGTTACAATTGCAGCACCCCAGGGACATATGATTCACGACCTTCCTAACCAATTTCTGGCAAGCAAACTCAATGGGGGAAACCTGTATTTTGCTTAATGACCATGTGATTAACTTAAAGATCATGGGAAAAAAGGTCATAAAATCAGGTGTGATCATGTGATAGTTTACTTAATGACTGGATCACTTAGCAACACAAGTTCCAGTCCTGTGGACAACCTGTGGTGGTAAAGCAAATCTCTTTGAATTACTCGTAGCACATTACTGAATTAGCTAACATGACTAAGTAAGTGGGATAGGTTGGTTCTCCTAAGAAAATGAAACATCAGTCATGCTAATGAGAAATAATAGGATAGAAAGAAGGTAAGTTGAATTCCTTATGAGTTTGGGGGAAAATTTCAATAATGAGGAATTATTTTTTTAAACATGAAAATGGTTAGGGAAATGCTATAGTAGAACAATGGGAAATACAGAAGAAGCTAAGTAAGCAAGTCACAAGGATTTAAGACAAAAGCATTATGAATAAAGACAGAGAATAAGATTTTGCTAAACTCTTCCCTGATGATTTTGGTAGGCAATCTAAAAGCTTTGTCTAGATCAGTGGTGTTAAACTGCCGGCCCACGGGCCGGACACGTCACGACGAAACCGTGCCCACTCATTGCTGGCAATTGGGAAAAAGCCCCGATACGTCGTGCGATGTCATGTGACATCGCGAGTTTGACATATCTGATCTAGATGTTTTCTTTATAGCATTCTAGAACAGGCTTGATAGCATCTTCTTAAACTGTGTTTTCTTGACTCTCTTCCAATTTTAAAAATTACAGAGGAGCCCAAAACAGCTTTCATTTGTATGAATTATATTTATCAATATTCACCATATTAAAAATTAAAATTGATGCATTCAATAAAATGTTTTATTTAATCATGTAAAAATAACAATATTAAATCCATTAGAAATTAACATAAATAAAATATTTTTCATGAAAACCCTACATTTTTAACAAATAAGAAATAATATGTTGTAATGTAAAAGTTGTACACTTTCTATGAGATTTTTATTTTTCTTCTATTCTTGTTGTTTGTTTTACTGAGGTTCAGTGTATTATTTAATCATTTTTGCAGTCACCTGAAGTGAAGGATTTTACCCACAGCTTCCAAATGGCCAAATAAACTATGGGCTATTTAATCCTGTTGGGTAAAACTCTTATACTTTAGGCAATTGCAAAAACCCTAAAACAGTATGCTACTAGAGTTCTTTTTTCTCCAAAGAACATGCAGAAAGCTTTTTGGGGAAAATAGTAATTAAAAATAATTCATAGTAAAAGCAGTTTTAAAAAGAATTAGAGATCCTGAAATAAAATATGACAATAGGTTTTATATTGTTTCAAAATAGCTGAATGATTTTAGAGGACACTGATTGGTACTAATGGAGAAATGGCCCAAAACCAGAAATAATTATAGAATGATTCTAATTTTCACAACTGTTATTACAATAGGACAGCAAACAGCCCAAATTCATTCACCCCACTTAAGTTTTACTCTTTTTAATGTAAATGATGTTTCTGTTTTTCTCCTAAGGACTACAAATATGATTAAAGATTTAGCCTGCCCTGGCAATAAAAAATCAGTGATAATCAGATTTTCTTATAAGTAATATTTGTCAACTAGCTTCAAATAATGATTATGATGGGAATCTGGTTTATTTAATTATAAAGACTATTTACTGAATTACAGGTTTAAATAACATAATAAAACATCTAATGAACACCATTTTTTTTTAAAAAGGGTAATGGAAGTAAATTGATTAAGAATTCTATACTGAAAATATATTCAGTGTAATTTAGAAGCCAATTTGTCCCATAAGGAAGAATGTTCTCTAATATGAAAGCCACAATTGAAAAGTGTCTCTTCCTTAATCCTCACCAGGAAGCATCTTGTCAAAAGGAGAAATCAGAAGATGGCAGCAATAAAATCTGCAGAAATGGAGCAACATTCTTAGGCAATTGGGAGGATGTAATTATTGAGACACTCCAGCCTTACAGGATTTAAAGGACAAAATCAGAAACTTGATCATAGAAACAAACTAGAAATGAGTCAGACTGAGATCAAATTCATAGAATATGGTCTGTCTTGCAAGTGAAAATAAGATTCTCACAGTGACGTTTCAGGCTAACTGAGGCTTCTACAAGCAGGTCCACACAATGTACAGTACAATAATCCAGTCTGAAAATTATAAAATGATGAATGATTATAGCATCAATTTTTCCCAGGAAAAGAACTCAAGAAAATTTTAGCCATAGTTGTTTATGGTTTATAAAGAAGGAAAAGTGAGAAATTAAAATTAACAGAGAGAATTTCACAGTCTGATCTTTATTTAATTATGGTTAGATATGAAGTATGCATGACTTCAGCCTGAACTGTATAGAACTTGGGTTGAATTTTATTTTATTTTTTTCATAAATAAAATATATGCCTATCTTAAATTTCAGAATAAAGAAAACTATCTGAGCCCTAGAGAGCTATTTTTGATATTAAATAATGTAAAGACTCTCTTTTGCTCAGACTGGCCAATTTATCACAGGGCAGATGTCATAGATACTATGAACAATTAAAAGACCCTGTGCGTTTTATCAAAGAATGTATTTTATCCCATTGGTCACAGAAAATAGTATGCATCATCAAATCTGCAAATATAGTATTTAACTTAGTGTTGGAAGCATGCGGAAGAGGCCTTCATCCTGCAGTGGACAGACAGTGGCTAAAATGATGATAATGAGTTTTAACTATATAAATGCCTTAAATACATAAACTTGCATATACTACTCTAAATTTAGGCTATGAATATATCTTTTTAGCTTTGGAATTAGGGAATTGTAATTTATTTAACAATTCAAAATATTGCCAGAACTGCTTACATTATGAATTAAAATTTCTGAAAATTTCTGATATATATTTTCATTGTTCTATAAACATAGAACGATAAATGTTTCTTTTTAATACAAAAGCTAAATTATTAAATATAAAAATACAGTTTCCATCTTACCTTGTAAAACATGTCTCCCTCCTCCATCAACTTGCTCAACAGGATGACCATGATGTCTGGTTTGGAAGTGGCCATTGCCCATGTTGCTGGACCTGCAGTGTACAGGATGCATGATGGGTAAAAACTCATACAATGCAAAAGGTGGCAGTGGAGGAAAGCTAAAATGGGAAAACATCCTGGGCAGATAATTTCTGATGGAGAGAACAACTTGATATAGTCAACTCAACAAGCAACTTTATTCCAGAAAAAAAGTTGGGTTTTATATGTAAGTGAATAAAATATATACTTTGCAATACTATAATTAAATTAATTTTAAAACAAGTCATAAATACTTGAGTCATTTCCGAAGAGAGAATATTCACTTAGTGGCATTACCAAGAAAACATTCTAGAAAAATGAATAAGAAGAACAAGTCTAATATTAAATCAAATTAAAATTAAATATCTATATCATTGTACATAAATTAAGTGATGTGCAATACAAAATCTAATACAGATATACCTGAAATTTTCTGCATCAATATTTGTGGTCACCATGTGAAAATCTTTTAAAATCTCAGTGTTTCTGAAAAAAAATCAATTCAAACTAAATTCTTATTCTGTGAAAGTGCATTCTCCTGATGCAATTCAAAAGTCCAGTTCTGCACTGTCTTATGTTGGTTTTCAAAAACAAAAATAATGAACAAACAAATCATTTCAGAATGAGTTTTTTACTCAGTAAATTATCAGCTTCTGAAGCTCTTATCATCATAGAAAATCATTTCAGAAGATTCAATGAAAACAAATTTGTAGTGTTTTACATATTTTGCAGCATTTTATAAGTGAATTTAGTCTTTAGTTCAAGTTATTCTCTGCAGCAGTAAGAAAAAATAATTATTTGAAGATGAGAAAAATTAAAAGTGGGGAATAGAACACAGGCAGGCAAAACTGTAGAAGAGAAAAGGCAGAGCTGTTAGACCACCAAGTTTGATGATGACAGCAGTAAAATATACCTCGTGGGCGACTTGGTAGTGTCTGACAGCCTTTGGGGGAAGGTGGGGGGGAAGATAGGAGGAAAAAACAAAGTTGTAGGAGAGGGAGAAAAAATGGATGAAGGTGAATTTTAAAAAAGGAAAAAGCAGCAGTGAGAGGCAGGCAGCAAAGCAGCAGCAAATTTTGTGATGCAAGAATTAAGAGACAAAAGCATATGCAGATAATGCTCAAATCTAGAAACATCTACAGAGCAAGGTAGGCAGCATACCAGCATAACAGCTATTTAGATTTTCATTTTTAGATGAGGAACTAATTATGAATTGCTTTCTTTAGTTTGTAAGAGCTAAATAAATAATAATAAATCACCAATGTAATCATCACATATGGAAATGCTGAACATTTGCATATTGAAACTGTGTATGCCTATATCAAAGGAGTATACTGTACTGTGTTTTTATATCCAACAAAGATATGAAAGACATTATTCCCTTTGTGTCCTCCCTACCTATCTTGGCTCCTTTCTTCAAGAGAGTAACTACAACAGAGGTATTGCGGCAGCCCACTGCCCTATCAAGGGGGCGCATCCCACTGTAATCCACATGCTCAATCATGGCACCATGATCCACCAGGAACTGAACCTATAAATAAACAAACAACTGAGTCAGTATCATTCTGAAACAATCACTGTTATTATGTGATTATGTTATTATATGGGGTTTATTTATTTATTTTTGCCTTCAAAAGAGGTCTTATTTTCAGAGGGTATTTTTTCCACTCACCTCGCGATGGCAGCACCAACACCCTCCCCCCCAGCCATCCCACTTCTTCTGTAGTTGAAGGAGTGGCTTCATTCTGTAGCTGAGAATGGAGCTCTGCCCTGCATTTCGCAGTAAGAGGCCTTTCCGGAAGGCCTCTGCAGCCGAGAATTGAGCTACAGATTCAATCCATAGCTTGGTACTTGGCTGCAGATGCCGTCTGGAAAGGTCTCTGCAAAATGCAAGCTGGAGCTCCATTCTCAGCTGCAGAATGAAGCTGCTTCTTTGGCCGCAGAAGAAGTGGACCAGCGAGGCAAGTATCATCCATGGGAGGCCTGGCTGCAATGGTAAACTCCACTTCCCCACCCTAGCTTGATTTTTAGGCATCCATCTCGCCCCAAAACTAGGGCTTATTTTGGGAGTAAGGCTTATATTAAGCCCACTCCCAAAAATTAAGCTAGGGCTTACTTTGGGGGTAGGTATTACTTTTAGGGAAACGTGGTATTATGCTTTTATCATTTTCTATTATAAGCTATATTTCTAAATATAGGTTTAACTATATCATTAGAATTGATGTCTTTTTTGAGACCAATTGGAGGAGTATGACAAGCCAGACCAATTTGTCAGACTGGCCAACCTGTTGCACAAAAATCCCAAATGGTGTAGAAAGCTGCCATTTAAAATATACTTGGAAGTATTGTAGGAATCACCAAGGCTTATTGCTGCAATGTAACTCCATACTGGTTCCTTTTGTTTAGCCCTCCAATCCAATCTTGAAATTAACATTTAAAGGGCATATAAACTTTCAATACTGACAATTTCTGTGGTCTGAGAAGACAGTTAGTAACCCAATTAACTCTATATATTAAATCAAATATGAAAGATTGATAAATATCATAGGTTTCAATTCCCATTATATTTTATAAGATGCAGCTGAAAGTATTGGATTACATAGTCCATTTTTTCCACACTATGAATTACGGAATGAAGAACGGTGGATGCCATTTATTTCCAGTTTCAGTTTATTTTACTGCAAATTGAGATTATTTGAGGGAAAGTGGAGAGGTACCAATATTTTGGCAGTGTCTGTATGTCATATGAATCAGTTGCTGTGATAAAGAAATGAAATAAATTATTTTCTCTTATAGAATAAATAAGCAAACAATAAAAATAATAAAAACTTACCACCTCTGCATCTCCATAAAAAGCTGCTAAATCCAATGGAGTACGTCCATTTTTGTCAGCATGATCTGTAGCAGCTCCACTCTCTACCAAAGCTCGCACTACTGAAAGATGGCCTTTTAAGCAAGCCCAGCTAAGAGCAGTTAGTCCTTCTTTGTCCATTAAGGAAATTGAGGAGCCTGAAGGAAAAAAGCAAACCTGCTTATGTGGTTGTACAAGCTAAAATGATCTACACTTCATTCTTGTAGCAATCTTTTATAAAGGTTTGGTCTTATAATGATTTAGGAATGCATGTATCTCATTTACAAGAAATACTGCTTATATTAGCTTGATAGATACTTTAGAGAGAGAAAATGTCACCTAATAGCTTGTTGCCCTTGGAGTGGCTTGTAGAGTATTTTATGGTTAGAAAATGGCTTCTCAACTTTTTTACTGCATATTGGAACAAAATTCTGGTAATATTCTTCTGCATTTTTGCTCATTCATTAAGAATGAGACAAATTTATCTGTTTGATTAGTTCTCCTATCCAATCTTGAATTCTCCAGAAACATCTTAGTTAAGTCATTCTTGCATTAAAACAAAAAACAAAATGAGCCTGCTGGGTAAAAGAAAAGAATATAATCATTTAACAAGACATAGGGATTAAAAGATAAAAAAAGAGATACAAAATATATTGTCCCACAAATGATAACTTTCCCCCTCTGAATAAGAGCGTCAACTGGGCAACTCATGAACAAAGAAGCCTTTAGCAGCCAAGGTTGCATAATCCATTATGGTTCACCAGTCTTTATCTGCATCCCAAATCTTGCCAACTCTCCTTTTTTCCAATATATAATGTCATCTTGCTCCCCACAAGAAAATGTTGATGTATGTATAACTGCATATTTGCTTAGCCTAATATTTTTTTTCTACTTATGAGATTATCAGGACAGAGGCAGAAATCTGGGATCCAATTCATCTATTAACTTCCTTGTTGCCCAAAAGAATTTTTGCCCAGGTTGCTCAATTGGTCACTCAGTGTGTGTTGAAATGCCCCTCTTGCTGGCATTGATGACTTCAACCTTTATGCTGTAGAGTGTGGGTTGGGAAGAACTAAAGATTTCATGGCTACCATGATTATATGGGTTTGTTCCAGGAAACTCCAGGCAAGACATACTTAAATGATTATACTTAGACCTTATTTGTGCCTTGGAGTCAATATATTATCATCTAGATATGGACAACATTATAGCTAGCTCTGTGCCATGATTATATAATTTCCCAATCCTGATAATAACAGTTTATTTAATTTATAGGGCCACTTAATTGAAATGACTCAAGGCTGATGAGATTGACTGCTGCTTGTGACCTTTGTGAGGTAAACTGATAAATTATAAAGGCCGATATCAGGTATCTTATGAATTTGATTCTGGAAATGATTCCGGTGAGAGTCTCAATGATTTTATACATAATTGTATTTTCTAAACAACCTGAACTTATGAGAAATTGCTTCTGAGTGCCTTCCCTCTGTATACTGATTTGAATGGCTGCTTTGCTTATTGCAGACTTTAGACAGATGAAACAACAAAAGCAACACTTGGAATGCTGATGTAGAAACATGAGAAATGAAAATGGGGCAAGTTCAAATCTGAGTCTACATCATGGCAATAAAACAGATTTAGTACATTTTTCCTCTTATTGCATCAATAGACTGCTGTTCAAAGGTCTTACCTACCCTCTCCGAGGAGAAATCATGTGTATCTTTTGTTGGTACAGGTCTTTGCTGATAAAGGTAACTCAAATTACCAATCTCTTGACTCTTGGAGGGAATGGAGTTCATGTAATGACTGGAACAGCAACATGCTGGAATTTATTTTTGCCTGTGGAGTCCAAGGAAGCAGGGTTGTCTCTGGTATTCCTTGGCTACCTATGGCTTGAATTCATACAGTATTTCTCCTGTTTTTTGAGGGTAGATGGAGTGTGTGTTTGTGTATGTATATACTATGGGCTGGTGATTATCAATGCTTTGCTTTAGGAAAGGACATTTCCTACACATTTAAAAGAGGCCCTCCCAGAATTCTGCTATTCTTGGAAATTATTGCTATCTCGTTTGTAGACAAGAAAAAGATGCCATGTATGCCTAAAACTACTTTTATTAAGAATGGCTATAGTCCCAGAATATTGCAAGTCAGAATATGCTTCTCTTTCTCCTTCCTTTTTTTTATCTTTGAATGAATTCATAGGGTATTTGTCTAAGACATTTTCATACTGTTCTCCCTCTTCTAGGCTTGAATGATGTTTACTTCCTTGTCGCCTTAATAATAGATTCTCCCTCTCTCCAATAAGGTCATCTGCTTTATTGTCTGCAGTTATTCAGACTATGTTCACTGGTCAGCTAACAGCATACTAGAAGGAATGGGTTATCTTTTCAGTCATAATTCAGGCTTGGGGACGCACTTTGTCTTGGCATCCATTTATTTCTCCATTTTAAAAGAATTATATACTGCCATCTCCATAATTAGATTACTATCATCTTGTCCTGAGCAAAAAATCTATGAGTGGGGCTGCACATTAATTGGGAGAACCCCATGCTTGTTCTGGAATTTTGGACTACTCCTAAGAGAATGGCTGGCATATGTCCTCTAGACACCTATCAATTAAATCATTCAAACATCTAGGATTTGGGGAAATAAGCAGACTAGAATGTGTGTGTGTCTGTGGGGGAGCAGCACACATGATCTCTCCATGTTCTTGTGGTTACTAATCTATCTTTCTACATACTTCCTTCCTCTGTCCACTACCCTTGAAATCCTATTATTTATTTCCTATCAAACTTTTCTTTAAGTGTCAGACATCTCAGAAAGATTCTGCAAAAGAATAGAAACTAATAGTTTCTCTCTAAACTCATCCTTAATTACACCATACTAAGTTGTACATTTTCTATATCAGAATTTCCAGAACAAACATGCTCCAGGTCCACTCTCTGAAATAATATCATTTATATTCAGGAAGTGTGCCTTCTATATCATGGGACCTCCCATATAGAACTACCTCCCCTCTGAGATCTGGAAGTCTGGTTGGGCTTCTGGAAGGCTTTCAAGATAGAGGCTCTTTTTCTCAAGAGGACATAATATTAGTTGATCTTGTATGTTTGTTTTGTTTTTATTCTGTTAACAGTCTGTGAAGCGCTTAAGCTATTTTTAATTAGATATTACCTTGCAGCTATTAGATAGTGCAGGTTTTTTTGGGGGGGGGGAGTAAGCTGCCCAGAATTACCTGATTAGGATGGGTGCCATATAAATTAGAAAGAAACAAAAATGGATAGAGAGAGATCTTTATCCCACAGAAGACAAAGAGCATTTTTACATCCTTTCTTGTAAAATCTAAGATTGGCAAGCCACTTTGTTTCTCTGCAGGACAGAGAAACTTTTGATACAAATTATTACTGATACTCTAACTCCCTGGATAACAATTCACTCAGGGTGATCTACATTTGGAGTAGTATGTGACTACAAAAATAAATATAAGAATAGTTTCTACATAGATGCAGTGGGTAGGTGGGGTTCTGTAAAACACACATATATGTTGTAAATTAAAATAAATTGTTGAAAAGTTGTTTTAAAAAATATCCAAAACATTTCCCAAACATAAATATTGGCTGAAAATAAGGCAGTTCCCAACTATAATGAAAATATATACTGATCTTGAAATAAACACTTCTGGCCTCATATCTCTATTCAGTTGCACATGAATATTGTAGAACAGAATCAAAGAAGATTTGGCCTTAATCTTACAATTTTTCAACACTAACCTTGTCCCAGTAAGAACTCCACAGTGCCCAAATGCCCCTCTGAAGCTGCCATCATTAGAGGAGTCCGACCTTGTTTATCTGCCATATTAACATCTGCACCATGGGTGAGCAAGAGGTCGACAATCTGAAAACACATAAAGAATGCACTGGGTACAAACCATCTACATAAATATCATGTCAGAAGTATCATGGATTCTTCTGCTAAGAATGACAATCTTTTGATGGCTGTTGGCTGCAATTAGCTTTTTTTGGAGGGAGAGGGGAATCCCAGGCAGGGCAATGGTAACAACAAAAAATCTATGGGATATATCCCATCTCATTCTCACAAGACACCTTTTGTTCTGTGACCCAAAAATACATTAAATGCCCTTTAACAGAAACACAAAAAGACTAAACAATTCAAAATAAATTTCAAGACGGCAGTTACTAAGAGCTACCAGCATCTACAGCACAGAGTCCAAGCTTCTTCCTAATTGTAAAAGGATGTATTCTAAGCAGTTAAGTACAAGATTTCAGCAGAAGAGCAAAATTTTTTGTGGGCTATTCCTAGAGAGCGAGCCCAGAGATTTACAAATATTTAATGCTTTTGTAATTATTGTGGCATATGGCTGAATATAGAGATTCCTATGATAGATCTTCAGGTTTAATTTAAATATTTTTTTATTGGCTGGATTCTCCTGACATCCAACCCCACAACCCTTCTCCACTGAAATTCTTTTATTTAGATTTATGGCTCCTCTAAATTTCAGAAGATAGGTAATCATACTGACTAACTTTCTATATTGATTGGCAGTTTTTTCCCCTGCTTAACATCTTACCATATTTGTTTTATTAATATGTAGAATTAGAACTTTTACTTATAAGGATAATCACTGAAAGAACAGTTATTTTACCAATGCAGTAAAGGTTACTATTTTTGTTTTTGATTCTCCTTTTACATAAAAAAATTAAAGGGAAACTCGCCTAGATTATAAATATAAATTTGTTTTTAAATCATCCATATTCCTAATAATGTTATTAATTTTGATTTATTTGTCTGCAAATATTACTATGTTGTTTATTTAAATATATATTTGCTTCAATCAGTGTACCCCAGTTTCAAGTGGATAACTTTTTCTAATATTGTTTCTTCAACTACATGAGGCAACTTCAGCATAAGGATTTGTAAATATTGTAATTATATTTTTAAATTATATTTAAACATTGTAATTATATTTTTAAATTATATTTAAAAATATAATTACAATGTTTCTTTTTTCCAGGTTTTTCTTGCTATTTAACAGCTTATTGGTCTTTTTTTAAGCTATCACAAAATTAATGTTTTTATTTGTCAAGTGGACTGTTGAAAAAGAGTCAAATCAGCATATTATTATTTTTTTTGAGAAATTTAAAATGAATATGGTTTTGATGTAATTTTTTTTCTAATGTAATTGTACGTTCAAAAACTTTATTAATTTGGTGATTCACAGTATATTTCCAGATCTTACTATTTTGTTTGCTTTGATTTAATAAACACCTGCTAATTTGTTTAATTATTTTTTCAACTATAAAATAGAGTTCCAACATAGAGAATATTTTAATCAATTGTTAATACTATGTATGCATTAATTGTTTGATGTTTGTTAAAAATAATATTGAGTGCTTTCTTTATGGTTATTTTTCTTCTCATATAGTAGTAGTTGACTTTTATATATTTTGTTTTAAATATCTCCTACTTTTAACATTTTAAATTTTGTTTTAATTTAATAAATAGAAATTCTGAGCACAAGATAAAGTATTGTTTTTTCTAAAATGAGTAGGAATAATAAGAAAGACTCGAAGATGGAGGAAATACAGCTTGATTCCTCTGTCCTTTTCTTTCATCTAAAAGACTTTCTGCTTCTACAACATAATTGTGTACTTTTTAACATAAGAGAAATCAGTTGCTGTTAAATTCTGCAAATAACCAGACTGCACATCACAATTGATAGATGTGTTTTATCTCATCTAGAGCAGCAGCGGGCTGGCGCACATGTGCAGCTCAATTTATACAATAGGCAGACCGGTGCGCACATGTGCACAGCTCATCTTGCACACACATGCACACTGGCTCACTGCTCACACGAGTTGAGTTGTCCGCACCTGTCTGCCAGCCTGCCATTCACATGGCCTGGCCATGGCCCAGAGGTTGGGGACCCCTGATCTAGAGGTCCACCAGGACAGGATAAAATGTGCCAGAGGATGTAAGGGCTTTGACTGATTATATGAATGTCAAATCTTGACTCTGGTAAACACAATGACTTCACCTTACAAAGATATCAGAACTGTACTTACAACCTATGACTAAGAAAAAAAACAGCTAGCAGGGAACCATCCATCCAAATAATAATCACATCACCATACGTCCATTTAGACAAAAATATAAGAAAACTATCAAGTGTAAGAAGTCTCACTATTTGTCCTCTCTTCGGTAAACATAGAATTAGGAACTAAAAAATCAGCCTTTTTCTGGCACCCAATCATAGGAATATTGCGGGAATGTATGTTCTCCTTGGACATCCCTATACCTGCTTACATGTGGGAAGAATATTACAGCCAATTATTCATTGTCTCAAGTTGTGGATTAAAGGAATCCCAAAATGATCTACCGCTCCTGCGGAAGATCTTCTACCCACCTCCATTATTTAAATATCACATTGACTGGTGGGTTTCCTTACTTGTAGGTTTATTTACTCATGTAAATAATTCCTGCCAAATTCCAATTGGTTGGGAATTCTCTATTGTGGTCTCCATTTATAAAAAGGATGATAAGGATGATCCTTCAAATTATAAACCAATTAATCTAACTGACATCATAGCCAAATATCTTTTATACAAGTTTGAGGCTGGTAATTGAAAACAGCTTGCTACCCAAAGATCAAATTAGATTTGGGTCTGGTCACTCCATTATTGATAACAGCTTCATTTTATGTCATCCAGTAGAAAAATATACAGGAAGCCAACTGTTTACAATTTTTACAGACCTCAGTGCAATATTTGATTCAATAAACAAGGACTTGCTTTGGAAGAAACTTATTGACCTAAGCATTGATTCCAGCCTCCTCTCTTTAATCAAGGCATTATACTCAAATGTATGCCTAAGGCTATGCGCAGAATACATAGTTCATTAACAGAAAATTAATACCAATAAAGAAGTTACATAAGGATGTATACATTTTGTTTAATCTGTACGTTAACATCTCAAAGTCCCTTCATTCAACCATATATATATATATAGGTCTTTGGTTGTTCGGGTTTTCTGGTGTTTTCAGCTTCGTGCTTTGAGCAGCAATGTGTGGTCTTAGCTGTTAAAGGAAGAAACACCAGCCTGAAGATGACGAATGGGACTTCGTCGAAACGTCGCCAAGACACTTCCAATTTTACGCGGGAGAAAACCCGAACAACCAAAGACCTACATACAAATACCCGCGAAAACCTCAGAAAACAAATATACATATATCCATCCATCCATCCATCCATCCATCCATCCATCCATCCATCCAGGTAGGGATGAGAAGACAGTAAGTCCAAAACTAAGGTAATTATTTTCAGGAAGAGTTGGACTAGGTGTAATTAGGGCCTGGATAGGGAATGTATACAACAAGTCAAATCCTACTTATACTTGGGATTGGTTTTAACAGAAACAAGTTCCTGGTTGCCTCATTTTAGGAAGAATTTTTAAGGACTACAGCATGTACCAATGCTATAAGATAATTCACCAACAATAGCTATGTGGGTTTCTACTTCCAATCATAAATAGTCCCACTGATATGGTGCAGAACTGTGAGGATATATAAATGCTGATTTACTGAAATGAACTGTTGTTGTTTGGTTGCTTAGTTGTATCCAACTCTTTCTGACCCCACAGACCAGGATCTAGGATAGCTCAGTGTGGCCAGCTCAGTGCAGCCAGCTCGACACTGCTGAGTCACCTCTGTCAACTGACTGCTATCATGTCTTCCCAGATGATTCAACACAGTCAATTCATTGTGGGGACAATTCGCCATGGGCCGCCAGAGTGAGAGCCGGATAGGTGAGCAAATAGGCAGAGCACAGAGTAATGGTGATGACCAGAGACTTTAAATTGGAAAGAGAGCCAGGTGGGAAAGTGAGCAGGTGGGCAGAGTGCAAAGCAGCAGTGATAGTGGTCAGGAGCTTCCCTATTTTCATACATGCTATTGTTGCCATTGCTGCCAAGCCAAACTCTGGGCTGTTAAGAGTTTGAGCCATTTGGCAATAGTGGCGGTGTTCTGGCCATTTGGGCATAGCAGTGGGAAGCGGGTGTCAGGGAGGTGGTGGATCCCAGGAGGTTACAATTTCCATATTTTGCCTGTTGCTGCTGCCACCAAGCCCTGGGCCATGCGAAGTTTGGGCCATTTGGCAGCAACGGCAGTGTTCGGGCCTTTTGTGGGTGGCAGTGATGGGCAGCAGGGAGGCAGTAGAGGCCAGGGATGTCCCATTTTCACACACAGAGCCACCACTGCCCCGAAAAGGCCAAACACCAGCAGCAAAGCTGAATGGCCTGAACTCCAAATGGCCTGGAGTTCAGTTCAGCAGCATTAGCAGAGAAGGGTATGAAAATGGGAAGCTTCAGGCCTCTGCTACTTCCCTGCCACCCATCCTGCCCACTGCTGCCACCATTGCTGTTGCTGAAGGGGAGGGATCTAAAAATGGAAAGTGCCAAGCCTCTGCTGCTTCCCTGCCACCCGACCCATTCGTTTCTTCCCATTCTATTTGTTAGGAAGTAATGGCACCAGATGCCATGATCTTAGTTTTTAATGTTGAAATTCAAACCAACTTGTGCACTCTCTTCTTTCATCCTCATCATGAGGCTCTTCAGTTTCTCTTCACTTTCTGCCATTAGAATGATATTATCTGCATATCTGAGGTGGTTAATATTTCTCGTGGCAATGTTAATTCAAGCTTATGATTCATCCAGCCCAAAATTTTGAATGATGTACTTTGCATATAAGTGCCATAAGCAGGGTGACAATATACAGCCTTGTCATACTCTCTTCCCTATTTTGAACCAATCAGTTGTTCCATGTCTGATTCTAACTGTTGCTTCTTGACTCGCATACAGGTTTCTCAGGATAAGGTGGTCTA